GTGAAAGGCTTGCACGATGGTATTCCCCGTGACGCTGCCTTGTGGGATGAGCCAGTCATGTACAGACAATCCAGACAGACAGACAGACAGACAGACAGACAGACGGACAGACAGACAGACAGCCAGACAGACAGCCAGGCAGACAGACGCGCATACATACCTTGCGGAGAAGAAGTCCAAACTCCAGATTCACCACTCTATCACTATTACACCCTCAACAGCCACGGTCCGGACAGTGCAAGATTGGTTGACGACATTGCACTGCACGAGACACCCAATCTCATCCCTCGACCCCAACTAACTGCCACTTACTGATCGATACATTGCCATGGCTATTGTATGCTATTGTCTAGTGTTTGAAAAATTCCAAACAGTATACTTTTGGTAGTGCTACTCTCGCGCGTATTCTCGGCCTAGGGACCTACTTGGTGCTCGTGCTGGTAATGCTAGTGTTGCAGAGTTGCCCGTCCAAGCTCAGAACCCTAAAACCTTTGTAGGACTTGTCGGAACCCAACAGATCCCTTCAACCGGAACCGCTTCAGGAACCCACTGTGTACTAAACCCGCAAAACCTCACACCCTAAACCGCAGAGTGCCCTTCGAGTAATCCTTAAAGATCGCGGGAGGGAACCCCAGAAGTGCATCTCAGGCTACCTGCACTGTTTCTGGGGGGGTTTAGGGTTTAGGGTTTGGGGGGGTTCCTTAATGTAGAAACAACATAATATACACCAAAACCCTATTCTAATTATGAAGGCCCTTAGTCCCCCTAAACTCTACAGCCTCTAGTAGAAGCCCAAAAGTTGGAAGCCCACTAGCCTCAATCTTGAAGAGTCATGTAAAGGGAATCCCAGCACTGGTTGTCCTTAATCCGGTTTCCAACTTTCTGGGGTTTGCTATTTATAGGAAAGCTCTTCAGGATCATTTTCGGAACCCTTAAACCCTCAACCCCTCCCTCCCTGAACTATAGGGACCCCAACAGATCCCTTTAACGGGGCCCTTTAAAGGAGCGCTTTTTTAAGTAAACCCTAAAGCCAAAACCCAAAACCCTAAACCCTAAACCCTTACCATGTGCATCCCTTTTAGGGGTTTTAAGGGTTTAGGGTTTAGGGTTTAGGGTTTAGGGTTTAGGGTTTAGGGCCCAGGTCTGGTCCGAAACTTCAAGGGGAGACTTGGCCGGTATCGGGCCGCCGTGGAGAGCGCCCAGAGGTCTGGGATCGTCGTTTGAAGAGCGTTTTTAAGGTTTACGGCCCGGGGAGCTTAAAACCCCTAAGCCCTAAACCCTAAACCGTTTCGGGTTTGGGGGTTTACGGTTTAGAGTTTAGAGTTTAGAGTTTAGGGTTTAGGGTTTAGGGTTTAGGGTTTGGGGTTTAGGGCTTGGGGATTTCGGAGCCCCTTCTCATTGGTTGCACAACCGACCCCCCCCTCAACACTAAACCCTAACACTAACACCCACAACCTTAAGCTCTGGAGCCCTAGAGCCCCAAACCTCAAACCCTGAACCCCAAAACTGAGAGAAACAATAAGAACCCTGAATCCTTGAAGCCCCAAAGCCATAAAGCCTAAATCCTAAAGCCCAGCATTTCGCTTTTTGCTTCTTTTCAGTAGGTCTCACCAGCAGAAGAAGCAGCAAAGGGGCAGCCGGCGGACATCTGAGCTGGACGAGGTGAGCTTTCTTGACCTTAAGAGCTCCTAGGGTTTAGGTTTTTTTTCGGTTAGGGTTTAGGGGTTTAGGGGTTTAGGGGTTTAGGGGTTTAGGGTTCTTCAATGGTTCGGCAAGTGTTATTGTAAGGGTTGCTATACGGGTTACAATAGGGCTCAAAGTGTTTTGTTAAATGCTATGGCGTGTATAAGGAGTCATATACAGGGCTTGATCTTGGGGCCTTAGTAATTAGACTAGGGTTCCTTTTAAGGTATCTTTAACGGGTTCCAGAATACAGAGGCCTTATTGATTAGCAGAGGGCTTGGAGGTATATCATACTTTAATTATGCAGGGCTTTTTTGGAGGATACTACTGGTTCTTATTCCGACTCCTGCTGTATGGTGTGGCATTCAGGATTTGGGGCTTCGGTACATAGGATGTAGCATTTTCAATGTCATCCAGGCTAGGAGCAACCCACAAGCTACACCCTGGAAGCGACTTTTTCAGGGTCCCTAGGATGTTTCGGTGTCTGTAATGTGAAGATGTACACCTAAGCCTCAGGACCTAATGTAGCGGCCTAAATAAGTAGCTATTCTATCTTTTGGGGTGGCTCTTTGTTACAAATGATAGTAGAGTATACCCCCCAAAAACCCTGTTCGAATTGTTAAGGCCCCTACATGGGTAGTTCTCGAAACTCGAGTCCCTTTGAGGGTCCTTTCTATAAGGGTGCCGTACTATAGTGGGGTCCGAAAGAGGGGCCCTAATTTAGAGAACTACCCACATCATTATCTGGAACCTCTGAGGCGGAGAAGGGCAAAATTCTCCAGGAGCTGGAGGAGGTAAAGGTCGAGGAGCTGGAGGTCATCGGAGCCTTCGTTACCTTCACCCATGTGCCTGGGTTTGAAAGGTTTTTATTTTCACATAAACGGGCTTTAGAAGCAGATTTTTTGTCAAAAAACGGGCTTTTGATGTTGTGCTTTGGAAGCATACCTAACGTAATTGCTCTACTATACTATCACAAACCACAGACAGGCCCCCCCAAATGGAGGCAGTCTAGGGCTTCAGGGGCTGAAGGGTTGCAGCTGTGGGGCTAGAAGTTTAGAGGGTTCCAGGCTTACGGTTCAGGTTTTAGGGCTTTAGGGTGTTTAGGAGTTTAGGAGTTTAGGGTTTTAGGATGTTTAGGGTTTTAGGGTGTTTAGGAGTTTAGGAGTTTAGGGTTTTAGGATGTTTAGGGTTTTAGGGTGTTTAGGGTTTAGGGTTTGAGGGTTAAGGGTTTTAGGGTTTATGGTTGTAGGGTTTTAGGGTTTAGGGGTTTAGGAGGTTGCCCTGAACTTTCAGAATTTCAGGTCCCTGAGCCACGCTATTGTGTTTCCATGTGCAGCTATTGAAAATGAAGGAAAGAGTGCATCGTCCGTACATATTCCGGCCTCCTATCCCCTGAGCCCCTAAACCCTAAACCCTAAACCCTAAACCCTAAACCATAAACCCTAAACCCTATCGGGCCTCCTATCCCCTGAACCTGAAGCCCCAAACCCAAACCCGAAACCCCTGATGCCTCAACCCTCAAGCACAAGCCCCAAAGCCCCAACGCCTAAAGGCCTGAGCCCTGCAACGACCCTGAAATGCCCAGGTGAAGCACAAGGAGTTTATCAGCCAAGAGTACCGATTCAGTCGCATCATGGTGCTGGGAAGGTGGCGCTTCGGGCTTCGGGATTAAAATCCCAAACCCCTAAACCCCTAAACCCCTAAACCCTAAACCCCTGAACCCTAAAACCCTAAACCCCTAAACCCTAACACCCTACACCCTTCAAGGGGTCAGGGTTTAGGCTCCAGGGGTTGACGGTTTTGGGGCTGTCGGGTGCCCTAGAACGGATTAAGCAAAACACTCGGGCTTTTGGAGCCGTGTTGCCAGGGGCCTTCATGTACTTGTGTGGCCCTTACCGCACTTGCATCCTATGCTTATTCCCGGCAGACAAAGCGCACCCCAAAAAGAGGAAATTGGCAGGGTTCAGCTTGCAGCGCCGTAGCATCCCCGATTTTGTGACCCTTCGCAGACAAGCGCAGGTGGTTGCAGGGTGACGATCAACGCTTTGAAGGTGACGCGATTCGGGCTTCCGATGCGCCGCTGCCAGCGGACATCTTCTGGGAGAACATCGATTGCCCACAGAACAAGAGGAGGTTCAAAAGAGTTGTCATTGCCGGTGCCTTTCTGGTGCTGGTCCTTGTGACTGGGTCGGCAGTTGGCAGTAGGGTTGCTGGGGGCAGCTGTCGACATCGCAGGATTTTGGATTCCGCATCTTTTCAAAAAGAGACATCGCTCCAAAGATTCCTCATCTTTTCAAAAAGAGACATAGCTCTAAAAGATTCTTCATCTTTTCAAAGAGAGATACGGCTCTAAGGATTCCTCATCCTTTTCAATCGGAGACATGGCTCTAAACCCTAAGTCTCAGGTCATGATTCTCTGCCTGAGCCTGGCGAAGTGGGGCCGGGAGGAAGCGCAGGCCCAAGGGAGCGGCGTCTGCCCTGCAGCAGCAGATGCCACAGAGTCTCAAAAGCTCTACTGCTCTTGCACTGCCATTGGGATACAAAGCGTCCTGCGCGACATACCGGCTGGAACGCGGCAGGAGTGTAGTTCCTGGCTGGAGACGTACGCATACTCTCAGGCAGCATGGCTCTAAGAATGATTTAGGCTAAGCGTCCCAGATCAGTGCATTCTTTGCATTGCTGGGTCATCTTAAGAAACCGCCCCAAAGAATTGCCCAAAGACGGCATTGTACTGACTACCTACCCCTATCATGGCACCTTGAACTAAGTTCTTTGACCTTCAAAATCCCTAGGCTAACTATAATATACAGATCCGATAACGTGCTGTAGTGATAAAGCACAGAGCTGCAAACATTGAGTTCTCTGGAAAAAGACAAAGGCGATGATGATGCTTGCAGTGGCTTTCTCGTCTGTCATCAACATCGCCGCGGGCGTGCTGATACCAGTTTGCGAGAGTACCCTTTTATAGATCTGCTCCAGATCTTTCCGGAATGCGCAGCAGGAAGGTTTTGGGTCGAAGGCGTCTGGGTCTGGGTTGCGGAGTTTTCATCGCATACTACCCCCCCACTCAGTGTTTAGGGTTTAGGGTTTAGGGTTTAGGGTTGAATTTGACAACATAGATACAGATAGTATTTACGGCCCGTACTAGTACCCTGATCATAGACTGTTAATGTAGAACGCAGCAAGCGGGAATTTTACACGAGGCGTGTGAGGCCGCCGGAAATGTCACGGTATATGACCAGCTATTGGGGCTAAGCCGCAAGCCCTCAAGCCTACACTTTAAACCCTAAAAAACCCTAAACCCGAAGCCCTAAACCCCTAACCCTGATCCCTAAACCCTAAACCCTAAACCCTAAAGCCCTAAACCCATAAACCCCAAAGTCGTGGCAGGGTAGCCTTGCGTTGGTTCTTGTGACATGCAGCAAGGTAACCGTAAGGGTCCAAGTACCTAATCATCATATACTCTTCTGAATACGAACC